GCCTCTTGTAGGCCTATCTCTATGCTCAATTATGACTTAAAGATCTTAACTAAAATATTGGCCACCAGATTAATGAAAATTTTTGTCTTTCCTAGTCAGTATTGACCAGACCCTTTTAATGGAATCTCTGGCTGTGGCTCTTAGACTCCCCCCAATGGTGATTGGTATTCGGGTTGGGGTCCTGGAAGAAAAAGTAGCTTTGTATGCTGATGATCTCATTATATCATCACAAATGCTGCTATTGACCCGATTATTCCCCGTTTTTGACTACCCTGGGTTAAACATCAGTTGGGGAAAAAATCACAAATGCTGCCTATCGACCCTGTTCCAGCAGTTGTTGACCCTGCCCTACCTTTAGTGTGGGCTGAAAAAAAAATATTTGTGAATTGAGATCTCCGTTTCCGCCTCTGACTATTTTACATTGAACTTAGCCCCCTTGTTATATAACATGAAAAATAAATTGAAATCCTAGGATAATCTTCCCCTGACATTAGTGGGCTAGATTAATCTCTTCAAAATGAAATTGCTGCCTAGTTTTTTTTATATGTGCTTAGACACTCACCGGTTTGGATTCCAAAAAAATATTTTTGCTTGGTCAATACCTGTTTTAACTCCATTGGGGTTCGCGACAGTGGAGATTTCATTTATCAACGCTGCAGCGACCCTGGCAACAGGGAGGCTTGGCATGCCCTGGCATATTTAAGTAGTATTTGTTGGCTATGCTCACGCATGCTCATAATTGGTTAATTGCGGATGAATCCAATGCCTGAGTGATATTGGAAGCCTCCTGCTTGGGTTCCTTGGAGGCATTGAGGAACCTTATTTATCTTGACCCAGCTGTACCTCTTCCATTGACTGGAGCAATGAAAACGGTATTGCGGGCATGGCTTACAGCCCAGGCAGACCAGTTGGTTACTGAGGGACATTTCTCTCAACATACCCCACTATGGTGCAACTCTAAGTTGCCTGAATTTGCTCTGATCCTCGACCCACATATTTGGGCCGTAAAGGGCATTAAGTATATTGACCAAATGTGTTCTGGGGGGGAATTACGCACATTTGACAGCTTGAAATAACAATATGGCCTCCCAAATACATTTTTGTTTAGATATTTACAACTTAGACACTCCTTTTGTACTCCATTTCCAGTAACACCAGTTGCCTTTTATGACTCTGATTTAGAGACTTTACTTAGAGACTAAACTTTAGTTAAACGTCTATCTAACATATATAAAGAATTGCTTCCCTCTGTCCGTAAGGGACTTGAAGCTCTTAAAACTAAGTGGCTAGTTGACTTCCCAGAACTGGACGATGAATACTGGGAAGATACAGTATATGGGAATGTTCCTTTCATCAATTGGTCTGTGTCTCTCTACAGTTCAAAATCTTGCACCGTATTTATCTCGCCCCTATAGATCTTCATAGAATATATTGCTCAGTCCCTGCTGATTGTTGGAGATGTGGAGCGACCTCAGCTGACTTCATTCATATTTTTTGGCAGTGTGCACATATTCAGCTCTTCTGGAAGTCGGTGGTCGCCTGTATCCTTTCTGTTACTACTATTCAGGTACCTCTAACAGTGGATTTATATCTGTTGGGATTGGTCAACTCTCTGCCACACAGCAGGGGGGATGTTGGCATGCTAGAGGAAGGGATAGTTTCTGCAGCATGGAAAAGGATTGTAGAACACTTCCTAAGAGAACTGAATGGAGAACTGTCCGGAAATGGGTTAATTATCAGAGGTATAATATAAGATATATCTCAGATGTTCAAGGTTACAATTCTGAGCAGCAGGGCTGTTTCAGAACATCAATGGATAATAGGTGGTGCCTTTAAGAGGGATAGTGGCTTTGCATTGATCATTCAAGATGAGATTGATTCCAGGTGGACTTCTATAGCAGTCAGACAGCGGTACCTCTGTGATGCAGCAGCAACCTTTAGCTAGGCTCGACAGTGTCACAGCAGAAATAAGCAGGTCTGGATCTCTGGCAGCTCTGGTACTAGCACTCAGGATGATCCCCGGCTCCAGTGGACAGTGGCGCTGGACTTGGCAGACTGCAGCAGCTTCCTCAGTTCTCTGGCACTGACAAACATCATCTCTCATGTACTGCAGTCTCCCTGTATCTTCCTCCCTATTGCTCTCTTACAGGACCTTCCCTTTTCCACACACCAGTGTCTTGTGTTTTCCTGGGCTTTCTAATTTATACAGTATGAACCCTCCTGATTTAAAGTGATACTAAAGCTAAAAACGTTTTTTCTCTTAATGCAACGTTAAACAACGTTTTCTATTTCTTTGCCCCCCTTCCCTGTGTGAGGAGAGAATAGATCCAGTGTTGTGCATGGCTGCATCTCTTCTCCCCTCACTTCATCTTTACACAGCACTCAAGCAGCAGCAGGAACCATTGGCTCCTGCAGCTGTCAATCAATTGCAGCAAGGAGGGAGTAGGGGCGGGGCTAAGTAAGCTGTGTAAGTTTATTGAGCGCAGCTCCATAGTCCCACAGCTTGGGAGCGCGCAGACACTCTGTGCCTCCATAGCAAGCGGCTTGCTATGGGGACACATGAAGAAGAGGAGGAGCCAAGATTGCTGGTGGGGGACCAAAGAAAAGGAAGATCGGGGCTGCTCTGTGCAATACCACTGCACAGAGCAGGTGAATATAACATGTTTGTTATTTTAGTTACATTTTTTTTGCTTTAGTAACACTTTAAGGCATTCTGGATTTTGTGGTTTCCTGGGTTTGGATAGTAATGAAGTTCCTTCTGGCTGGGACCACAACTCCCAAAGTTCAATGCTCTTGACTGAAAATGATTCAAAATCCACAAAGTTCCATCTAGTAACAGAAAAAGGGAACTTCTCGCAAGAAGTATTAATTATGATAATGCATTAATAAACCTGTACATCAGGACCAAATTTAGCCTATCTAATATGGGGGTGCAGTAAAAGAAAATAAGGGGGCATAATGTCAACACAGTGTGTGAGTCACTAATAGTGTCATGACCTGGGAAACACTAGTATGTATTATATATTTCTCACTATTGGATGGTGCCAAGGGAAATATGTAAATATCAATATAAATTCAAAAGGGGGGGGGAGAGAGGAGCAGCTCCTGGAGGACGTCAAGTGGTAAAACACGTGGGACGGGGCCTTTAGAAGTGACGTCACCACACGTACGGGTGAGCTGCTGGTGTTTTCAGAGCCCCAAGCTCATCTTGTTATTACATATATGTGGTTAATGCAGGTGTCGGCCATGACACTTTACATTGTGAGTGTGGTTTATGCTTTTTAATGGAATAAAGTATTTTAATGGTTTTACGCTATGAAGCTTCCTCTTCCTTTCCTTCCATATGGTGCCTTATACACATAACAGGATTCATCTAAGAAGTTGTAAGAGGCTTTCGGCATTTCTGCAGATCGTTGCTCCCAAAGCCACTGCCTTTTAGCTGGTTTATAACATTACCAGCATGGAGCTCTAGTGAGTTCATTCAATTTGAATGGTGGTGGATTTTGCACAGTGTGGTGGTGTTGACAAACTCGGATATTTATAAAGATAACAAGAACTTATTTTTTCACATTAATATATGGAGGTTTAAACACAGTGATATGTATTTGATGAACACAGTGTCACTTATGTATTAGTGTATATGTATGAATGATCATACATTCGATGATATTTAATATCTTTTGCACACACACATATATATATATATAAAATTTATTTATTATGTTTGATGGCTAGAAAATATTTTTTGCACAATAATTTGTTGCACATTAAGATTTTTTTGTTAAATATGGTCTGCATTTTTATGCTACAAGACATACATTCTGCGGAGCGTTGTTCTAATATATTGACAAGTATGTAGTAGGTTGTCAATAAATTAAGATGATTAAATGGAAACTGTGCCCCTTTATAGTCCCTATGAGAGTCCCTCTTTACATCAGGAGTTCCCATCACAGTGTCCCTTTACATCAGAGTCCCCCCCCCCCCTTACATCATGTTTCCCCATCAGAGTACTCCCTTACATCAGGTGTCCACATCGAAGTGTCCACTAACATATGAATAGTTATCCCCATCAGAGTGCTCCCTTACATTAGGTACCCTCATCAGAGTGCCCCCTTACATGGATTGTCCCCATCAGAGTGCCTCCTTACATCAACTAAAACAAAAACAAACTGCGCCACAAGAACTATGTGAAAAATTTGAAAGTGAATGCTGCTGTGCCTTGATAAAAATTAAAAAGATTGCTAAAAATAAAAAAATCAGTGGAACAATAAAACAGTGCAAAACATGAAATGAATCAAAAATAATTATACACAAATCATAATAAATTATGTGGTTATAAAATAAATGTCCAAAACCACCCAAATGAAAAAAAATATAAAATTTGTGTCCAAATACAAAAAATGATGAAACCAGAAACAAAGAAAGTCCCCTTTAACCTCCCTGGCGGTATGATTATTTCAGATTTTTGGTGTTGAAAGTGGTACCATTATTTTGCATGGAAATTTGGCGTTTTATATCGTAGGCCTGTAATTTTTAAGAATAACTCACTGAAATCTGTCCGAACAAGAGTCTAGTAAACATCCCGAGTATGTTAAAATTTGAAACACGAAATCATAAATTATAATTTAATAAATAATCATATAAAATAATAATAATAATACATTTAATTCAATAATATAATCAAACCAAAAACACTGAAATTTGAAATATAGCGCCAAGTTCGCACATCACTGAGCAAAGTTGTAGAATCATTTTCAGTGTCTGATGACGAATTTCCCCCACGAATCATTATCACTCAATTCTGCAAGTGGTTCTGATTTACTATCGCTGTTCTCTAGCTGGTCTAAAACCGCTTTTGACCTAAAGGGACGCTTTTTGGACGCCATGGACGTTTCTCAGTTTCCAGGCAGAAAGAACGGTAAAAATGCAGGCAGGGCACAGGACAAAGCACTCGGGACAAAATGTATGTGAAATGCTTTGATACAGTAATGTTTTACTATGTGATTTTAGTGAATGTCACTTTTTGTCATTTTCAAATTTCCCGCCGTTCCGTCCCCGTACATCCCGACGCTCGCAGGGGACGGAACCCAGATGACAGATGCCGGCATCTGCCGGATTACATTGCCGGGGACACTGCAGGAGGGACATCGCGGGAGCGCAGGACAAGGTAAGTGATCGAGGGATCCCGGAGCAGCGTCGCATGGTAAGCCCGAGTGTAGCTCGGGGGTTACCGCTTGTGGTGCTGAAACTTTACCCCGAGCTACACTCGGGAATACCGCCAGGGAGGTTAAACATGCAAATAGTGCTCCAAACATTTTTTAGGATAAGTGTACTACAGAGAAAAGACTCCACGGAGTCAAAACTGGCTTGCATCAAACTGGCTCATGGACCAGTGTATGCACTCTCAGAAACCTGGGGGGCACAGCTAAAATCTAGGGGGGCACAATTAAAATCAAGGGGGGCACAGTCCACCCCAGCACCCCCCTAGATCTGCCCCCCACTGCACATTTCAGCTACAATGAACTTTGTTACATGTAGGTCAGGCCAACTCAGCCTTGTGCTGAGAGTGAGAAGGGAAGTCCCCATCCCACTGCTGGAACACATCGCTGTATACTATATGTATCTGAGGCTAAGTACAGTTACTACAGTGCGCCCAGCAAGTGCAGTCTGTTTGGGCCAAACCATTAAAATAAAAATAAATGCATGTTTTTACAAGTAAAAAAACAATTGTACGTTTATTTTTTTTTTCTTAGGAGCCTGCAGAGCATTGCACCCATGATCAATGGATCATGGGAGCAATGCCAGGCTCTTGTAGACACTTGCTACAGCTCTCTGCCCTTTACTCTGTACTGGCAGACATTTAATGAACTGTAGGAAGTGTCAATAGACTATGAGGGCACTGATCAGTGCTCTTATAGTCCATTGAGAACTACAAATTACAACTCCGGCTGCTGTATTGTTTCATTCATTCACAAGTCAAATGATTGGAAAGATGGAGCTTCACATGGATTTTAAATGAGACAGCGGCTGAGGGGGGAGTTGAACCCTAAATATGGGTGTTACATGGTGCTTGAAGTTGTTATAAAGGTTTTTTTTCTTTAAAAAAACAAACATGTTATACTTACCTTCTCTGTGTAATGGTTTTACACAGAGCAGCCCCGATCCTGAGTGTGGCTCAGTCCCACCCCCCAGACCCAGGAGAGCTCAGGCTCCCGAACACAGCGCTGGAACAGGATCAGGCTCAGGTAAGTATTGGGGGGGCTCTGGAGGGGAGCCGCACATTGAATATTTTTTAGACTCTAGAATGCACGAAGGTAAAAAAAAACATTCAGCCTTTGCAACCACTTTTGAACTTGGCCTTTAAATGTGGAATTAGAATTTCATTTAGAGGGTTTGGGTTTTGGGGCAGTATATTTTATTTAGCATTCTTTAAAAGTGTGTGTGTTTTTCCCTTTTTTGTGTGTGTGATTACTATTTGAATACTGTAGCTTTTAAATGTTTTTTTTTTTTTTCCCTATTTGTTTTTTCTTTCTGTGAAAAAAGTAAAATATTGCAGCTTTGGTACAAAAGAAGTTGAAAGAAGCTTCTGTAACTCTCAGCAATGATTTAAGGCTCACTATACTCTTAAAATGACAAAAAAAGCCTTAAAGGATAAGTTCACCTTTCATAACATGTTACATCATGAAACATGTTAAGAAAGGACCAGCCCCCGCTCCTCCCCAATCCCCTGTTGTGACAGCTAGCAGGGGATCTGCTTCCTCCTGCTAGCTGTCACAATTTAAAAATAAAAAAGTAGCCTTGCAGGGCTCCGCCCACCCCGCCGCATCACTCTTTCGCAGTATTCTGTTAATCAGAAGACTACGAGGTCCGACAGCCTTTGCAGCTCCCAAAACAAAAAAATAGGAAATGCGCATTTTTTTTTTAACCTGCAAAAAAAATGTACATTTATTTTTTTTTGTTTAACCGCTTCCCGACCGCCCTTTAGCAGAACTACTGCTAGAGGGTGACAGGTCTGTATAAATATGTGATTTTTCATTCATGGGTAGGGGCCAGGCGCGCGCTGCCCTACCCGTGCCGTCATTGGCGGCTACAGATGTCGATCACCAGGTCCCGGGCGGAGATTCCCCGACCGTCATCCGGTGATCGCCGAGGAACAGTGACAGAGGAGAGACCTGTGTGTAAACAACACAGGTCTCTCTCCTGCCAGAAGTAACATGCTGCTGTGTATTTCTCTGTATAGCAGAGAAATACACAGCAGCATGTCTCCCTAGTAAAACACACACACAGCACACAGTTAACTCTTTGATTGCCCCAGATGTTAACCCCTTCCTGCCCAGTGTCATTAGTACAGTGTCAGTGCTTTTTATTAGCACTGATCACTGTATTAGGCTAATTTCACACTGAGGAGTTTTTGAAGAATTTTGCATTAAAAAAAAGCACCAGAAAAGCTCAAAAACAATGCTTCCCTGTGTATGTTAATGTATATCTATGTATGCGTTCACACTGAGGCATTGCGAGTGCGGTGTAAAAACTCCTGCTTTCAGCATCTTTGGGGCATGTTTGGGGAGTTGAAAAAAAAAAAGCCCCAAAAACGCCTCTTCCCATTAATGAATCAATGGAAATTGCCTGAATAGTGCCTCAAAAACACCTCTGAAAAGCATTTTTGGTGCAGTTTTTAAGTCACCTGTCCTTTAAAAATGCTCAAAAAGCATGGTAAAAACGCCTATTCGTTTTGCTGTTTTTTTGCTGCGGATCAGTGTGAAAGTAGCCTAAAGTGTCATTGGGATGTCAGTGGCAGTTAGTCAGTTTCCCCCCAGTGTCAGAATGCCAGCCGCAGTCCCACAGTCCCGCTACAAGTCGTTAATCGCCGCCATTACTAGTATAAAAAAAAAACCTAAAAAAAATTCCAGTATATATACCGCCATTTGTAGACGCTATAACTTTCTTGATGAATTGTGATTTTTAAAGTTTTTTTTACTGGATATGTTTTATAGCAAAAATATAGTTTTTTTTTTTTCTTTTTTCTTTTCAAAATTGTCAGTCTTTTTTGTTTTATAGCACAAAAAAAGTTAAAATGCACAGGTGTTTAAATACCACCAATAGAAAGCTCTATTTGTGGGAACAAAAGGACATCAATTTCATTTGGGTGCAGCATTGCATGACCGCGCAATTGTCCGTTAAATTAACGCAGTGCTGTATCGCGGAAAATGGCCTGGTCAGGAGGGGGGGGGGGGGGGGGGGGGTAAATCCTCTGGAGGGCAAGAGGTTAAAGGTGAACTTATCCTTTAATTTTCCTTTCCACCCATTGCATTTAGCTGAAGCGGCAAAATTTCTCAGTTTTGTTTCACCATTTCCATACAAACAGTTTAATAAATTCCAGCCACTCACATTTTTCTTAATAATAAATTCTTTCCTTTTCCTTGTGATACAGGATACACTTCCTGACTACTACAAACCTTGGATAGATATTGCAGAACATTTGACTGTCTTGATTGAGACCAAAAAACTACGGGATGCAGTTCATCAGGTGAGTGTTACCAGCTTGAATCCATTCAAACTGCAGTTTTTATTTTTGTTGAACACGTTAGACTTATTGCAGACATGTGGTTGAAATGTGCAGCACCATTAATTTCCATCAATGAAAAAAAAGTGCTATTCCCACTTGTGATAAAATACTATTCAATGGGATTTATTTACTAAGTCTAGGTTCACACCTATGCGTTTTCCGTTGCGTTTTGTGGAAATGCGCAGCAGTCCATTTAACATGATTTCCTATGGGACAGGTTCACATCTCTGCGTTTTCACACGGTGCGTTTTTTGGAAAGGGTCAGGGACTTTTTTAAATGCAAAACGTTGCATTTTTGGTTCTATAGACTTCAATGGAGACGCTGCAGAAAAGCATGTAGTGCGTTTTTGACGATTTTTAATGCATTATTTATGCCTTTTGTGTATCTGCCCAGCAACAAGTTAAAGAAAACAAAACGCATCCACAGTGTGTCAAAAACGCATGTGCAAAAATGCACAGCAGGAACGGATGAAACGCAAACTGCATAGGTGTGAATCGAGCCTAAAGCTAGAGAGTGCAAAATCAGGTTCACTTCTGCATAGAAACCAATCAGCATCCAGGTTTTATTGCCAAATCTTAATTGAAAAAATTGAGGTTAGACGCTGATTGGTTTCTGTGCAGCAGTGAGCCTGATTGTGCACTCTCCAGCTTTGGTAAATAAGCCCCAAAGAAAGTGTGTAAATCCAAAAGCCCAAGTTCACACAATGCACTGCGGAAAACGCGGTGCGTTTCTTGTACTGCATTGCAATCGCATCACACTCATACAATCTGGTGATGATAAAGCAATGACACCCCAAAACAGATTGCAAAACACGATGCAATTACTAGAAATAGTATTGCATGGGTGAGAACACCCATGCGATGCAAATCTAGTGCTAATTTAAAAAAGGTGCGGATGCGGTTTTTTTTTTTTCTGCGCGAATTCCGCACCGCATCACAATCGCACCCCGTTCATGCAGGTGTGTATGTTAAGTTAACAACACCCTAAAATTGGTCTGCAAAATGCGGTACGATGTGCAGAATTGGATCGGGTCCTGCACCTTTCCGGTGCTGATTCGGTGAGGTTTGCACAGAAATCGCAATGCACAGACATTTGCATGACATTCACACAGGAATGTGTTGCGATTCCTGTGCAAATTGCATGCGTTGTCCCACACTGCATAGTGTGAACCCAGGCTGAACCAAATGAATAATTGCCTCTATAAAATAAATAACTTACCGTAAATCTTGAATTTCATAGTATCCAAAAAATGAATAAATGAATAGTTCATTCAATGGTCTTCCATAGACCTCCACTCCACTGTGTTCCCAACACCCGTGTAGAATTCCACACGTTGACAAATCACCACCACGTGCGGTATGATTAAAGGTTTACCAGATCTCCATCTTTTCATGGATACCATATACAGTAACCAAAAGGATTGAGGAGGAAGCGGACGTCATCAAGCTCTTCTTGTTTTAATCAATGTAGTATGACAATACACACACATAAAGAAAAGATTTCGCCCATAGTGTATAAAATTTTATTGAAAATGCAAAAGATAAAAATAGATCTACACTCACATTTGAAAATCCAGCTTCAAGCATTAGAATACTCGCATAGCATGAGTGCACAACGCTCAGCACCACCACTCCTACTGTCTGAGTCGGTGTACGTTCCACACGCTGAATCCAAATCAGCGGAAGTCATGTACAGTATATGGTGACTGGAAGTGTCGACTGCGGCCAGGCCTCAATGCATTTTGTGGAATCGCGTCATCAGAAAGCTCCCTGCTGGGATGATTTCCAATTTGGGGCAGAAGGAAAGCAATAAAAAAGTGCAATGTGCTGGGTGTGCTGTGGTAGCTGTTTAATGTCTAGTACACACGGCCAGAAAATTGTACAAAAAATACCGCTTTCAAAGCAATCGTTAGTACACAGCTTTCATCCAAAATTATTCAAAGGGATAAGTGCAAAAATTTCTCTCATATGATACCAGATCGTACAATTTTTGTTTAATCAGTACAGTTTTTGTCTGAAAATTACTTCCGAAATTTTACGCTGTCCAGGGGCAAGTGCAGCATCCTGCCCCACTGTAGGAAGCCTGTGAAAGTAAATGGTAGGCTATGGCTGGATGGGGCTGAAGGCTGTACCAAGTGGAGCCCATGTTTAGGGCCTTGTACATTTAGGGATGAAGGTCCAGAACAGAGGTCTTCTGCATTCTGGACCTTCATTTATTAACCCCTTCATGCCTAAGGATAAAACAAATCTTAATGCCAAAGCACAATCTTGCAACGTTGACATGTGTTAGTAAAACCGTACATATCAACACAACTACTTTGTACATCCAGGTGAATTATATCTTGTTTTGTTTCAGGACAAATTGGGCTTTCATTTGGTGGTAAATAGTAATGGATATCTCCTGATTTTATTTTTATCATGAAAGGAAAATTGGCCTGAAATAGTAAAAACAAAATCATTTTTTAAAATTTAGCTGTGTGTTTCTTGTTATTACCATAACCTACCACCAAAGAACAACCCAAAATAAATTTTCCAGCTCTTGACGATTGCAGCGATACCATATATGTGTATGTTATTTGTTTTTTGTACCCACAGTACAGCCAAGAAACAATAGTGCGCATTTTGTTTTTTGGTGGTGTTTTTTGTTTTTTTTTTACCTAAAACACACTGACACTGACACTACCTGACACTGATACCAATTAAAAAAAAAACAGAAAAAACCTGACCTTGACCCAAACACTAACCCTGGCCCTGAACTAGATCAAACCTTGATCTAGGTATTTTTTCTTTATTTTATCTTTTATTTTGTAATATTTTATTTATTTATTTAACAAACATATATTCCCCCACCTCTATGCAAGGAGAGAGAGAGAAATAATGTACCTCTCTCCTCCATTCATAGAGTAAAAAAAAAAAAAAAACAAGGGGGAGCGGGCTGTACAGTGACTGATCACTATGATAGCCAATCAGAGGCTATCACAGCTATCATGTGACCCAGAATCAGGAGTCCCGTGTTCCAATTGTTAGAACGGGACCTGGGGCTCTCAGTGACATCCGGGTCTTTGTGCTGGGAGCGCTCTGTGTGGCGTGCTCCCAGCACAAAGACAGGTACGCAAATATGCGGCCCCACAGAAAAAAGCGCAGTTCTGTGAGACCGCATATTTGTGTTACGTCAACATTAAGGGGTTAAAACAGCCGGTGAGCACTTAGCAACTAGCATCTATTGCCAGAACAAACATTTTGGTCTAGAGTATTTAATGTACAATAGAGCAGAAAGAGTGCAGGGGTCATACTTGTGTACAACAGATAGTGTAGGGGTCAGGAGTATGTATCATGCAGAGGTCAGAAGTTACATAGTTAGTCTGGCTGAAAAAAGACAAAAGTCCATCCAGTTCAACCATTAAAAAAAAAAAAAAAAAAGTTATAATCCTATACCTACAGTTTGATGCATATGGTGTGGGGGTTAGAGGTTCTAAATATACAGAATGCAAAGGTCAGGAATAAATAATGAAAAGAGTGTAGAGGTCAGGGATGTGTAACGCACAGAGTTCAAAGGTCAGGTGTTCATAACACAGAGAGTGCAGGGGTCATACTTGTGTACCACAGAGAGTGTAGGGGTCAGGAGTATGTATCATGCAGAGGTCAGAAGTGTTTAATGCATATGGTGGGGGGGTCAGAGGTTCTAAATATACAGAATGCAAATGTCAGGAATAAATAATGAAAAGAGTGTAGAAGTCAGGGATGTGTAACGCACAGAATTCAAAGGTCAGGTGTTCATAACACGAAGAGTGCAGGGGTCAGAGTATATAAACCAGCAGAGTGCAGGGGTCAGGAGTACAAGCTAGCATGCATTACAACCCCCTTCCCTTGAAGTACACATCATTACACAAATATGTTAGTGCATATCTGCCTTACTCCATGGTCTGTCTTGTAGGCCTCACTTTAGTTCCAGGCAAGGAGATGTTCTTCCCTCAACTGTGTCATGTGATGCATCAGAACTGAGGAAGGATCTCCCTTTACTCTGCGCTGTAGGCCTGCCGCAATATCTGAGGTCTGTCGCAGGGGCGGACTGACAACTCATGGGCCCCCAGGCAATAGGGGATCATGGGGCCCCTGTGTCCTTGCCCAAACTCAAAAGAGCCTATGAAAAAGGTACCAGGGGGCATCTCATGGAGCCCCCTACTGACCCCGGGCCCTCGGGCAGTGCCCGAGTTTCCAAATGGTCAGTCCGCCCCTGGACTCTGTCAGCAGATACAGCGTTAATGGCACTGCAGCATCAGAACTTTAAATAAAAGCATTGCTTGCAGTTGTTGCATAGAGCACCCTGCAAGAGATGCAGAACACTTGTCCAACTTCTGACCTGTATAATTTGTGACAGCCAGGGATGTAGACATTTTAGAAAGTAGAAATGAGTGTCAATAACATAAAATAGTGCAGCGCTGAAATAGTGACAATATGACAAAAAATTGTCCACTAAAAGTCTTGTTCATATGAACGTATCCAGTGTCAGATGTGAATTCAGAATTGGTGATCCGTGTGGAAATGACTGGAAAACGCACTCACCAGAAGTAAGACACATAAACGCAGTGTGCATTTAAAGCTCATGGGTCATCAATCCAGAGGGAAGTAAAGCTGGTCCGGTTACAGGAATGGTGGGTCCCTCCTCCGTAAATGCAGCAACAGATCTTCCTTCTCACGATTAGAAGTAGAATTCCAAGATCCAGGTTCTGCAAGCAAAAGCTCCTCAAGGGAGTTTTAGGGAAGGACACCCATAGTGAAGTAGGTCATAAAAGGCAGCTTTATTCAAAATAGTGATATCCAATTCAAAGCAGGCAGGTATCATACAGATGTGTCAGCAAGACAACTAACCCTGGCACTTCGAATAGTGGCCGCCGGGCCTCCACGTGGCTCCGGCGGCGTAGCGTCTCGACGTCCAGGCTCCTCCTTACGCGTTACGTGCGCACGCACATCTTCAGAGGTATGGAACCATACCTCTGAAGATGTGCGTGCGCACGTAACGCGTAAGGAGGAGCCTGGACGTCGAGACGCTACGCCGCCGGAGCCACGTGGAGGCCCGGCGGCCACTATTCGAAGTGCCAGGGTTAGTTGTCTTGCTGACACATCTGTATGATACCTGCCTGCTTTGAATTGGATATCACTATTTTGAATAAAGCTGCCTTTTATGACCTACTTCACTATGGGTGTCCTTCCCTAAAACTCCCTTGAGGAGCTTTTGCTTGCAGAACCTGGATCTTGGAATTCTACTTCTAATCGTGAGAAGGAAGATCTGTTGCTGCATTTACGGAGGAGGGACCCACCATTCCTGTAACCGGACCAGCTTTACTTCCCTCTGGATTGATGACCCATGAGCTTTAAATGCACACTGCGTTTATGTGTCTTACTTCTGGTGAGTGCGTTTTCCAGCCATTTCCACACGGATCACCAATTCTGAATTCACATCTGACACTGGATACGTTCATATGAACAAGACTTTTAGTGGACAATTTTTTGTCATATTGTCACTATTTCAGCGCTGCACTATTTTATGTTATTGCTTTTAAGTTTTTATTGGTTGCTTAGAGTGCTCAGCCGCTATCAGGATTAGCGCTCACTG